CACTGATCAGCTCCATTTCCACAGACTTATTCTCCTGTCTGACTGGAAAACAAGCAGCTRCAGCCTGGAATCCATGCACCCCTGTTAATAAAATGGGATACCWAAACTCTGCTTCTTATTGGGATTTGTCAATTTGAAAGGAATAGCATGCGACCATAGCAATAAAAACTTCTGGATGACCAGTTTTGTGCATAGTAAGTATGAAATCTAGGGGAGATCCTCTGTTACCAGTGGATTTTGAACCTTGATCTGCTGCTTTTCAGTCCTCTGCATCACTGACCAGAATACATAAYCTTGTGTACACACGGAATAATTCTGGTCTCTTATGCATGCATTGCGCAGTACAATCAAACAAGCATCCAATAGCCTGATTTAATAGTAGTGTTTGATTTAGCAGGTTGGTGAACTCTGCATTGCAATAAAAGATGAGTCATTTTAATTGATTTTGGCAAAACAACCAAGTGGAGCTTAACCAGGGTTTGTGAACATTTTCATGCATGAGTTGCACATCGGTACCACATATTCAAAGCAAGTATCTTGTCAAGAGGATAATTTCCAATGTTACCCAAAGACTCTAAAGTGCTTCTAAGAGAAAGATATTGAACATTGTTCAAGAAAAAAAAGCCACTAAGTTGAGGAGCTTGTGGAAAACTCAGGAATATCAAGAGCATCCTCCACAAACATGGAGGAGTAAGAGCAAGCCTTCCGTGGAAGCCTCTTTGGGTTCCTGTCTCCACAGGTTTATGCAGCATGATCTTTTGCAGCTGAGTCAGGATAGAACCTATGAAATCAGAAATGGCAAAATGATTTCCAGCAGCTGTCTTTTCTCTTTTTGTATCAAGCAAAAGGAAATGTAAGTAGAGAAAACTTGGATGTTTTGTAGTGCACGCATCTTGAATTTCTGTGTAGTATATAAGAATAAATATACATCTACTAAAGAAACCTTTCAGAACTTAATAAAGGAAATTCTCAGATCCAGATGAAAAGGAAATAATTCATTGCTAATAAGTGGCTTGTTGCTAAAACATAAAAAAAATGTGGTTTAGGTGGAGAATTACATTAAGTGCCTCAGGTTTTGTGGTGGGAAGGTCTTACAATAGAGCCATAATAGTTTTAATAGTTATATTTGTTAATAGCTATGTTTTAATTTGTTATTAGTTATAGTAATAGTCCTAGAACTATTCCTTAGTTCTGAGAACAGGGCCTGGATATTTTTGTCCTGTGTGTTTTGTATCCACCAACAAAATCCTCGCCCATAGCTGCATGTCCAGACTATTAATGAAACACAAYTAAACAATTACAGCATCTTGTTAGTATAAATACAATACTTGGTGTATTTTTTAACTGGTACTTAGATAATTGCCAAACACTTAGGATATTTTTCTTTCTGATGGTAAGTTATTGTGAAGTAATTTGTCTTTTAAAATAGACTGTTTTACTGATAACTTGTGCCTCATCTAGCATGAGGCCAATGGCACATCTTTGACTATGTGAAGCACGGAAACTAAAGGCAACACGTGGGCTGATGGGAGTTGTATGTCACATGAGACATGAAGGCTGGCTGTTATCTTTCTGAAGGTGCAACATGTCACCACAACACATTGCTGCCTAGCCTTCCGGGGACATCTGRTAGGGTTATACACAAACAGTAGCCAAATTAGAAAAAAATTCCTGTGCAGTATGTAGACATATATAATTGACACTCTGTCCGTATCAAGCCAGCATGCATTRGTCTCATTCCTTCTTCTGTTTTAATTAAACATTTCACATCTATTATGGGGGTGCATTCATAGCRCCTGTCTGTAATTGATCATCCTCTTGCTTGCTTTTGCCTCTCTTCAAGTATTCAGGAGAGAACTAAGTTCGACCCAGTTAGTCTCTTTCGAATCAGGTGTCAGGTTAGCTCTGTTACAGCTGAAGAGGTAAGAGGTAATGACCTTTGGRCAGCTAACAAAAGATAAGACACATTGAAAGATAAGTACATTCCAGAGAAAATGGAGTTTGTTACAGAGAAAACCTGCAGATCGTGTTACTCAGAAACAAAAGGTGCGAGTGCTTTACTTCTGGGCAAAGAAGAGTAAGAATGCTATTCTTTGTAGGTACAATTAGTGTGGGCTCACAAAAGGAGGATCATGCCTCATAAATCTGATATCTTTTTCTGGAGACAGGAAAGCTAAGTGAGTCACAGCAGGAAAACTACTGACATGATAAATCAAGACAAGGGGAAAGCTTTCCATACAGSAACATGAAAAGACTTTACCCCAAAATCAAGGAGTAAGGCAAATAAACAGTTTAAGTGAATAAGAAGCTAGTTGCAAGTTCAAGGACAGAATAGTGCAAGACAGGATTACAAAGACTGGAAATTAATTACTTTGAGACTGGAAAGAAAGAGGAACAGTGAGAAAGCTGAGGGAAAATAGCCTCTGACAATTGCATTATTTCACAATTAACAGTCTTGGGGTGTCTAACACAAGTGTGTTGATTCCCAGTTCAGTAGAATCACTTGCATTTCACATGGCAAAGCAACATTTATAAACATTTAAAGAAAAATGCTCTTTGAATATTAGATGTCTTTAAGGTCAGATGAACTGGTATAATGGATTTAAGTGATTATTTATRTTAGGGACCCTGCACTATCCATCCTTCACAGCTACAAACAGCTTCTTTTCCTTTGTGTCCCTACAGCGTTCCTGACTGCTGGGAATACTACACTGCGGGTGCTACTGGCAAGAACTCGAGGCATAGAAGGCATGTCAATTTCTTTGTGCTTCTAGCCCCCTACTGAGAGCCTCAAACCACGCTGGAGGCATCTYTTAAAGCCTGCCAGCTTCCTAAGGCTGTGTCTGGGCATACTTTGTTGACAGCCCCAAAGAGCCACCCTTCTGCGCTCTCTGGAAAACAAGTGCACGGATGATTCCTCCTAACATGGTTAGGAGTATGACACCATTTCACTGCTTTGAACAGTCATCCTAAAGATTGAGAAAAGGCTATAGCCAACTATCTCAACATGCAAGCATGACTATTTTTAAGTGAAAGTAGCTTCAATCTGTTAGAAGAGCTCTCAGTCCCCCATTTTTTGAGTTCCCAACATATCCCTCCATCCACCAGCTGTGAAGCCAGGTGAAGATCCCTGTAACAGATCTGGCTGTCAATCAGCCCTATATCAGCATATTAGAATATATTTATTCATAAGGAATATAAGCAGATTACTCGGGTCCCTTCAGACTTACCACTACTCTCCCTCTTGGCCTTTCTGTCACTATGTTAGGGGACAGCTGACACTCTGGTGTCACAACAAGTGAAAGTACTTATCACCATCTGGAACTGTCGGTCAGGGCCTCGATGGCATGGACAGGGACCACTGTACCTGCCCAGCCTTCCCTAGAGCCTCCCACATCCCGCCATGTCAGCTTCCCTGCCCAAGTGATGCCACAGCAGGGTTGCTCTGGCTTCCCTGAGCCCTGCCAGGCCCCAGGGTTCATGCTCCAGCAGCTCCTCCACTTGGCTGTACTAAAATGGTAAGAAAAGCTGAAGGACCCCTGTTATCTATCACTGCTATCTCTGTCAGAGCTGTGTTACAGAGCTAGTGTGGCTGAAACCCAAGGTATTCTGTATCATGCAGAGTACTATAGTGAGTTTAAAAGAGATGAACCAAAGGATAGATAGGTTTATTGTCTGGTCCATTATCTCATATCTTTACACTTTTATTTCAGTGGTTGACTTACCTTTTAAAGTATTGATTAAATGGACTTGGATGGATGAATGTGCTCATAGGTTACTGCAAATTACTTCTTGAAAGAATGAAACTTCTTTCATTAGATGCATTGCGTGACTTTAAACATCTGCCTTTGCCTCATGGAAGAGAAGGGTAGGGTATGCTATTATTGCCTTCCTCTTTCGGCAATGGGAGGTGTGTCATGCTTTTGTGTTACTTGTTACTACTGCTTTTCTTGYTGTTGTTCTGCCTTCCTCTTCTTCAGTCTTGACTGGGACCACACACTGCTATCTCTGTTTCATGACCTTTGAGGAATTTGGTCCATCCAAGGTGCTATGTGATCCTCTCACCCTTCCTCCCCCTGCCTTCTCTCTGGTCTGCCTGCCCCTGTAACCAAGGCAATGTTCTCAAGAGGCAAGTTTCTAGATATTCAAAACTTCAGATAAGCCTCTTCAAGTTTATGAAATACAGAAGGGCACCTAGTTGTGAAGAATAACACACTTAGAGACTAAATTCTTAGCCGGCCAAGGACTGTCAAGAGGTTGGTACTATCTGTGGCTACTGCGTTCTGGGACAGTGTGTCCCTGGGCTGTGCCAGTCTGAGGGTGTTCCTGTGCTACAAATACTGTGCTTCATATTAGTAAGTAAATCCTTGAAWAAGTTTAGAATTCTGACAAAGAGGGTTAATTAATTTTGTGACAGTCATGGGTACACTGRATGGTTTACATTTGAGAAGCCACATGACCGTGAAGAGAAACGAAGAGAGCTCTCAGATGGCAACAACATAATGTGAAAAGTGCCTGCAAATAGTATGCATGCTAGCAGAGGTGTAATATCTGTTCAAAGAAGTGAAAAATTCTGGTTTCCTCCATTGATTCTGCTCTGCTGTCAAGGGAGGTTTAGGCTGGATATCAGAAAAGATTCTTCACCCAGAGTTGAGCACTGGAACAGGCTCCCAGGGGAAGCGGTAGACAGCACCAGCCTGACAACTGAAGCGCATGGATAATGCTGTCAGGCACATGGTGTGACCCTTGGCGATGGTGCTGAGAAGGGCCAGGAGTTGGACTCGATGATCCTTGTAAGTCCCTTCCAACTCAGCATACTCTGYGCTTCAGTGAACCGGCTTTCAGCAGGAGCAACTGCCCACAAGCTCCCGTCACTAAGACGTTCCCGGACAGGGCAGTGCCCTCCCGCTGACCGCTGCTGGGGTCAGTACGTGTCCGGCCCCGCCCCGCACCGGCGGTGACGCGCGGCGGCGGTGACGCCCCATAAATAGCGGGGCGAGGCCGGCGCTCCCCACTCAGCGGTGGCGGTGCCCGTGGCCGCGACCCTGCCCGTGCTCCAGTCGGCGGCTCCGACCCCTTCTCCCTCCTCCCGGGTGAGTAGGGCCGCCCCGGTGCCGCGGCGCTGCTCTCGGCGGCCGCGGGCGCACCTGCCCGCCCCGCGGGGCTGACTCCGCAATATGGTGGAGCCCGCGGCGGAGCGGGCAGTRGCTGCGGCCCCGCGGGCGGCGCTGGCCGCCGGGCCACCCCCGCTGCTCTCGCCCCGCGGGCCCCGCCGCCCGCCGTGGGTCGGTAGGCTGCCCGAGGTTCTCCCGGCTCCCCAAAGTCCCGAGAACCTCGTCCGGCCCCGGGAGCGGCGTTGGAATGCCCGTCCCGGAAGCGGCCCGTGGAGGCGCTTGGGAAAGCGGCGCGCCTTCCTGCCGTGGGGACCGCGGCGAGCCGGAGCAGGCGCCGCGGCTCCTCTGCGTGCCTCGTCGTGCTGCTTTCTTTCGCTTCTTTCCATAGCGAGGGGGGAAAGCTGGAATGACGTTTGTGACGTAGCGTATGTGCTTTTCTCTTCAGAATCTGTTTCTGAAATATGCTTGGACTTGGATTCCGGGCGTCTCGCTCACCTGTTCCAGAGGGTAGATCCGACTTTCGCTAGGGCTGAACCTATTGAGGGGGTCTCTGAAACTATGCAAGATCCTAGTTATCTTCCTTRTCTCTAAGAGCGAAGCTTCACAGGCTGACTGCGATGGTGTAATAGACTAAAATTCAAATGCGTGCCTCGTGTGGATGGATTTTATGGCACATTCCACAAATATTGAATAGTCCTAAAAGTAACGGCCCTTTTTCCTTCAGACGCCAGATTGTGTGCTTCTAGTCTCTTCTGTTCTGTACCATACTTTGTGAAATAACTTCAGTTGTACTTCAAGAGATCTGGCGCGCAATGCTGTGTGAGAAACGTAGCACGTTTCTGCGGGTGTTTCAATGCTTGATAAATAGAAGGAAAACAGTTACTTCTGTAACCCTTGTCTGTTAGTTGTCATGCTTGTGAGTTCCACGTACAGTGGTTAATCTCATTACAGGCATTACTTTATGGCACATGTATGTTAATATGTGCAAATATGCCTGCAAAATGTTAASAGGATGCTGTTCTTGTTCCCCATTATGCAATGGGGATGGATTTTAACACATTCTTTTTTTGCTTTTATATGTGTGGCACAGAAAGCTGAGGTTGGCTCTTTTACAAATCTATCAGAAGGCCTTGAACACCACAATCCTTTTGAGGATGGACTCTTAGCTTATCTTTTTGTTGCCTCCTTTTGTACAGATTCTTCTGGAACTTAAGCATTATGGGAAACCATTAATGGAAGGAGTGCTTCCTGCAGATTTAGTTCAGCCTGCATATGTGCATAGGATGACAGTGGGCTTCAGGGTGTTCTCTTTATGTAGTACTGCAATACCTCACTCCTATAGGGTTGACGTGGGGAGGACTATTAGTATTTTCTTTGTGGGAATACACTTTGGAATGTATGTTGCGTACKGTAGACTTGTTGAATGATGACTTGATGGATGTTTGCAACTTGTTTCAGTGGAGAATGTGTAATAGTTTAGTCTAGATTAGCATAAAGGAGATTAATTTCCTTCAGTAGGGAAATCCAGTGCTCTGTGTGTTACAGGAATGCTAACTTTTTAGYAAGCAGAACAGAGTGAGCCTTAGGTGGGCTCTCTAAAAGATCTGATCTGATTAAAGCTATTGTCGGTGGGTTTTTTGTCTGACTTGGACATCTTGAACTAGATTTTTAGTGACTTGTAGGGTGGCTTTTCTTTGTCCTGGYTCAACAGATATGTCCAAGGGTGTCTTCATTCTAGAAAAATAAATGAATTCACCAGCTAGTGATTCATCAATGAACTGCTGGTTGTTCACCAATGAACTGCTGTACCTCAAAGCTGACTTGTGCATGTGATGTATTTGCATTGCCTAAACCAAGTTTTGGATTTGTAAATTGTTACAATAAAATATAATCCAGTAAGCATGATTGTGAGCATCCTGATCCTGTTAAATGGGGTGAATCAGAATAAGGTTATTGGTTTCAAAATTTCGTGCCAAGATGAAGCAGATATGATGCCATAACTCAGATATGCTTCTTTCACAGGCTGTGTAAGGTTCAAGACCTGAAAAAATGGCACTGGCAGCAATTGATCCACAGCAGGTATGTCTGAGTTAGTCCCATAATTTCTTTGTGTAGATGAGGAAGGAAGAAGCTGAGTGATGCCTTTCTCTTTTAAACAGAACATTGTATCGAGGGTTGCCAAGCTTCCTTTGGTGAGCTCCACCTATGATATGGTGTCCACCGCTTACATCACCACAAAGGATAAYCATCCTTACCTGAAGTCAGTATGTGAGATAGCAGAGAAAGGAGTGAAGACAATTACATCGGTAGCCATGACAAGTGCTATGCCTATCATTCAGAAACTGGAACCACAAAGTAAGGCAAAGATGAAGCTGTTCATAACTTTGGTTAACTGATTATTTCATATATTCAGATGCATTGATGATTTAATATGGTCATGCTGGTCTGGAATGCTGTTTCAGGTAGCTGGCTGAACCTGTTGCCTGGCTTGTTGAGCAACTGATTACAGATTAGTAAAATTTAAAAAGATAATAATCTAGACTGAAAGCAGATTTCAGCTTTCATAATACTAAATTGAACTTTTGATGTGTGAGATGATTACACAGTCTCTTGCTCAACACCTTCCTCACTTTTCACCTGGTTTCAAATTGCCACTGTCGTACTTTCTTACATTGGTTAAATTTGGAAGCTATGTCACGAGGTTGTTGTAACCAGAAGCCTGGTTTCATAGAATGGCAGAAGGCCAGGTGTTTCAGCTTGTTCTCCCTGTTGCTTKTAAATTATCAAATGAATTTTCTCTGCCTAAAAGTAAGGATCTTCTTTTCTGTCACTGTAAATGTGCCTTGTTCTTTGGCTTTGCTGTCTCAAATCTCAGTGAGGAGAAAACTACTTCAAGACTGTTGCATGAGGGACTTTGTTTGATTTGTCCTTCTAAGGGAAAAAAAATTAATATTGTCTCTTGTAATTTGTTTTATAGTTGTAGTTGCCAACAACTATGCTTGTATAGGTCTAGACAAAATTGAAGAGAGACTGCCTATACTGAATCAACCCACCGACAAGGTAAGTTCTTTCCATTTACATATGCTAAAGAGAAGAACCATATACCCTTCTCTTATATTACCACTAAAACCCCAGGGGGRCAGATTTCAAAAAGCTATGCCTGAAGCACAGCTTGGAAGCAATGAGAAAGTAAAAGGTGAATCTGTGGAACTGTTTGTTGCCCTTGGGAGGCCATTAAGCCTTTTTAAAAATTACTTTGGATTGCCCACCATTTGACACATCTGTCTAAAACTGCAGTTCACTGATAGGTGTCTTTTAAAACTTGAGTCTATGTCTCTTTCTTGCTCAGTGTTAAATGCCTGGATTACATTCACTGAAGTTTTTAGTCGGAGGCTGCATGGCAGTCATATTCTTTTTTCTCTTGTATGTATTTTTTCAGGGCAAAATTTATCCTAGATAACCAATACTTATGCAAGCTTTAACATGAATCTATAATTTTCTGGATTAGGTRGCTCTCACTAGTTAACACTTCTAGTAAATCAATGCATGTCCTTATGGCAGGTTGTTGCCAATGCCAAGGATGTAGTTGTTGGAGCCAGAGAAGCTGTAACAACCACTGTGACTGGTGCCAAGGAAACAGTTGCTCACACGATCACTGGAGTTGTGGGCAAGACTAAAGAAGCAGTGCAAGACAGCGTAGAAATGACCAAATCCGTTGTCAATGGCAGCATTAACACTGTCCTGGGAAGTCGTGTGGTACAAATGGTGAGCAGCGGAGTGGACAGTGCTCTCACAAAATCAGAGACCCTTGTAGATCAGTATTTTCCACTTACAGAAGCAGAACTAGGTAAGACCAATTCAAAATTTGATTTTGTTGGAGTGGTTGTATTGGGAGAAGCAGCCAATCATCCATTTATTTCTTGGAGAAAGGGGGCATGAGAAGGGGGAGAAGGGGGCATGTGCTTCCCAAAGTGCCTTTTGCCTTGCTGGTTGTAATACCAGCATCTTCATATGGAAGCAGAATGAAAGTAAGGATTTCCATGTAAGGTGGTCTATCAGCCCACCTGTGGTGCTAAAGGACTACTCAACAAACCCAATATTCAGGTTTTACAGGGCAGGTAAAATTGTCTCAGATCTCTCAAGTTTTCCTGCAGTGATCAATTTGCATCCTTTTTACAAACCTAGAGAAAGAAGCTGCAAATGTTGAAGGTTTTGAAGTTGAAGTTCAAAAGCCAAGCTACTATGTTAGACTAGGATCCCTGTCTTCGAAGGTCCGCACACGTGCCTACCAACAAGCCTTAAACAAAGTTAGAGATGCTAAACAGAAAAGCCAGGAGACAATCTCTCAGCTCCACTACACTGTTAGCCTGGTAAGTTTAAGCTTTCACTTGATCTATAAAAAGCTTATGCCGCCATTGTTTTAGAGTGAAGAAAACAGCCAATAAGAGTCAAAGGAAAACTGGGATTGCTCTCTCAGACTAAATGCATTTTTTAAATACAAAACATTTGCCATTAAGAGATTTTCATCACCATTCAGGTGACTTCTGAATCAGGCTGAGCTGTGAACTAAGGAGCAATTCCTTGTAACTGCAGGTGCTGCAGAAATAGAAGTAACATGTTTGAATTTATTCCTGTTTTGTAATGCTGGTTTTGACACATATTTCATTCAGTGAAAAAAATGTTACGCAATTTAGAAACATTCAGCCCTATAAGTCCTTCTTATTAATAAAATGTCAAATTCTTTTGGGACTTGCTCTTTTGCTGCTTCTACCTCTGAGCATTTCTGGTACTTTGCTAGCCTTATCCTAGCAGTATACCTTTATGTACAGGACAAACTGCACATGGAGTCATGGCCTTCTATACACTTTCAATTCCTTCTGTAAGAATCTAGTGGGGGAGGGGGAAATAGTTGAGGCAGAGGGAGCACTGCATAACATCTTGAAACTTCTTCCAGTTTGCAATTCTTTGAAGAGGCTGAACACACTCTTGCACTCCCCAATATCTTTCGTATTGAGCTTCTGAAGTATTTAAAAAGGAGGTTGAGTAACGGTCAAGGTAGAGTAGCCCTAAAGGAACTGTTTGGACTTTTGGCTCTACTTCCTTATTTGGCTGTATTTCAGATCGAGTATGCCAGAAAGAACGTGAATAGTGCCAATAAGAAACTTCTTGGTGCTCAGGAGAAGCTTTATCAATCCTGGGTAGAATGGAAGAGAAATACAGGCCAAAATGATGGTGATGATCTGCGTAGTGCTGAGGTAAATAGATGTAAATGTGCACCAGAAATATAGTTTGTATTCCATCAAGGTAATGGCAGACTAATAGTCCCTGAAGGGTACAATAGAGAAGCTTTTGTGCAAATGTGGAATCTGGATGCTGAAGCTCAGGGTAGCTGATTACTGAAAAGTAGGGGACCCAAACTTAAATGAGCCTACTTCTTGCAAACACTCTGGGGTTCATTCTCATCTCTTGAGGATGGTCATCCTGTTTAGCATGTGAACCTGTATTGGGATATCTGTATGTAGATGAGCTAGAAACCAGTTATCTGATGTGTCCAGACAAGAAATAATGATTTGTCAGCATAAAGCACTGTTAGGCACAGATTCTCTGAGTCTTACATGTAGCCTTCAGGAGTRGTGCATTGATTAGAACGTGCTTACCTGCTGTGATGTGTTATCCAGAATTGAAACACGAATCTGCTTGTCTGTCACTGGGTAGAAGCTGTCAATGTTTCTTTTCATTGGGTACTTGGGTGTTGAAGAAATTTCAAGTGCTTTTCAGTCTTTATTTCATTTACATCCCCTTTACTTTGCTTCTTTATTTATCTTGAGCAACAGAAAGCCACCACAGTCATAAAAAGACACTAACATGCTGTTATGCTTCTTCTTTCTAGCACATTGAGTCAAGAACTCTAGCTATTGCACGGAGCCTCACTCAGCAGCTTCAGACCACGTGCCTCACACTGGTCTCAAGCCTACAAGGGCTGCCACAGAATGTTCAGGATCAGGTTTACGGTATTGGGTCAATGGCTGGTGATGTCTACCAGAGCTTTCGGTCAGCATCCTCCTTCCAAGAATTATCAGACAGCTTTATTGCAGTTAGCAAAGGACAGCTGAAGAAAATGAAGGAGTCTCTGGATGATGTGATGGATTATCTTGTTAACAACACACCGCTCAACTGGCTGGTAGGTCCCTTTTACCTACAACTGCCTGGCATTCAGCATGCTGAAAGCAAAGGTGAAGGGGAGGAAAGTTCCAGCGAGAAAGACAAACAGCCTGAACACACTACTGAATAAACTGCACAGCCATGCATGTACTCTGCTGACTGATCAAATGAGTGGTCTTACTAAGTGTAGCTGTCAAAAAACAATTTTTCACCATTTTTTGGTGAAATATTCATAAATACAGGAGTACGGGGATGTACAGGCCARGACACGCGGACACACAGGCTGTGTTGTCCTATGTACTTTAGCCACTCTTAAAAATTCAAGCTAATTTAAGTGCCAAAGTATTGGCAGCTGACAGCTATCAGTATGCCCCTTTTGTCTGACAAGAAACCTCACCATGCTTCACCAGTATTAATACTACCAATCTAAAGAAAACCCACCATAGCTAAAAGCCTTTAAGCAACAAGTACAATCTCTGCCAGAATTATATAAAAGCCTTATATGTAACGATATGCTTTTGGAAGCTCTGCAGTCTAGCTGTGTACTCTTACGTACTATGTTTGCTGCAGATCACACATTTGATAATTATGGATCTGATTGTCTCAGATTCTRTTGCTACACAGTTCATGACAAAAGTTCTGTGAGTGCAGAATGCCAAAGCTGTAAGTGGGGTTTCTGAATGAGTCAGCTGGAGTCAAAGGCTGTGACAGTGTTAACATTAAATGTACAAACTTAACAATTGTGTAACACAGTAACTTGACCACAGAATCATAGACTATCTCAAGCTGGGAGGGACCCATAAGCACCATCAAGTTCGACTCCTGCTCCTTGCAGGACTACTAAAATCTAAACTAAATGACTTAGAGCATCATCTAGATGCTCCTTGAACACTCTTCCAGTGACTGACGAAATAATTATCAACACATTTTTTAATATGCAGTATAAAGGCAAGATTCATGCTGTTTGTACTCAGGTGCCTGCTGTTGTGTGTGTGTGTGTGTTTTTGTAGCCATCATTTTGTAACTTGCTTTTGTATGTTAGTAATAAATGCTTTAGTAGCCAAAGTCTGTCTCCTTTGTTTTAAAACCATCTAACTTGCTCTTCTGTGACTCCTTCAGAGAGGGTCCAGCAGAAAGCAAGTTTGATATGCAAATGAAGTAGATGTGTATGGAAAGTGCTTGTGTATATWTTGATAGATGAAATACTGCTGCAGCATTTCCTTCCGTTTGAATTTCTGTGTATCCATCCATTGAGTTTTACTGCTGCTTTTGTTGATCCTTGCTGTTGTCACCTTTAAAGATGACCTAAGCTGTGAGCTGCTGGATGTACTAATATTGCCAAAAAAGATGGATATGGACAAAAGAACCCTCTCCTCCCTTCGCAGTAGGTGTTGTGTGTGCATGACATGGCCATCTACCTGCTTTGTCTTCAGACTTCCTATAAACAGCTGCAGCACCAGTTTTAATTTAACTTTATTTATCCTCTTGAGAGACAAATGTACATTAACGCTCAACTCCTTGGGTGGCGTTCTCAGTGAATCCTGTGAATCCCTCCCTTGGAAAAGAATTGGGAAATAAGAAATAAGCTTTCTTGATTTAGGGCTTTCCAGGTAAGTTGTATCTTTCATCCTAGTTTGTGCCCTATACTATTTTGGGTTGCAGCCATCAAGTGTAGCAATGCTGGTCACCATTTTCAAAGAGGTCACCAAATATGCAGTTCAAAGAAAGCTTATCATGTAGTGATGCATTGCTACATGGAATAATACCTCCACCTGGCATGATGCAGGCACYAAAGCAAATTACGTGTTCAGTCTTTTAATGTGAGAGGGTTAGCTCTTAGGTCAGGGCTGGCCTAGAAGTGTGAGGAAGACTGTTCTAAGCACAGTATTAAATGAAACTATAACAAAACGGGATGACAGATAAGGATTCTGTAACTTCCAACTTTAAATACTCATATAACATGTTTTTAACATGAAATTAACAGGAGATGGTGAGACTCCTTCCCAGCTAGGGCCTGAATTAAGACTTCTGGAGACACAGTGCTTTCAGGAATTAACTGCTTTTTAAATTTACTTTAGCTATTGCATAGGTCCACTGACAATATCCATTTTTATCTCCATTATCTCTCGTAATACATGTAGAGTGCATCCACTGTTGTAGATGTGCTCAGGAACAGAACAGAACTAATTGAGCTGTTCAAAGAAGGAAATTACTGTTCTTCCATGTGTTTTAAAGTCCAGTTGCTCTGGGCTTTCATTCCAGGTGTGAGGGATCATCTGAGGTTATCAATCAAGTAAGATACTCATACTTTTCAATAATGTCTTTTAAGGACTGAGGAATAAACAGCATCATCTGGCAGGAGCAGTGCATTGTGTCTGTTCTGTCTTGTGTTACTGGTTTGTACTCTTGCAGGCCATCTGCCTTTACTAAACCTCAGCAAGCAGATGAAGTAGAAAGCAAGGAAAACTTGTCACAGCCTAGCCCTTCAAAGCACTTCTCCCTCACCGTGGTGGCTTTTGTTCAAAAGTTACTTACACTTCTGGCACCTGACCTACAACTGGTGGTTGCAAGCAGAGCAAGGCCTGGTTAAATGCTTACCTAATGGTTGGGCTCCTGTGTCATGCTGTTGAGATAGGTGCTCGTTTTTTTGGATGGTGCGCACCCCCCCGAGTGTTTATTTAAAGTTTCTATCCACACCCACCACCCCCATCAGGATTAGGAACCCTTCTGTAGTGGAAGAGAGGGCTGAATAACAGCAAGTTGGTGATAATAGAATAAAGTTCTCTGATTAAGATTATCAGACTCTGCTAATAAGGARAGCAGTGAATGTTTAAACTGGATTGCATCTGTACTTGAATGGGTATCTTACTGCAAGTATTGAGCATGGCATATTCCCACACTCCAGTCTAACTGCAGCGCCACAGACAGACTTGGTATTTTTCTCTAGTGCAGCTAGAGAGAGTGACTTAATATGTCCACTGGAGGCAAGAATGATGCCTTCCAAAGCCTTAGTTGTTTTCTGCCACTGTTGTTTTTGACTGGAGCTGAGGTGCTTCCTCTTAAATAAAGAAGGGAAACCTGAGAGACTGCCATCTTACCTGTTTCTCTCTAATGACATGTATTAAACAAAATCAATTAAACCAATCAGCTGCACTGCACAGAAGCTTGCTTGCTCTTAGTCCAAAATCACTTTTGAGGATATAGCTTSGGCTTGAAAGCTGTGAGGTTTCTCTGGAACCTTTCAAAAAAGGTAAGACCAGATGTGTTGAAAATGATAGGAAATGAATTCAGCTGTTTGAGTAGGTCAGATAAACTACATGAACTACAAGAATGTCAAAGGCTGCAAGTCACACAAAACTTGAGATGGTAAAGGTTAGAATACTAAATGATTATCACTTGTATCACTTATTTAGGAATAAATAAGAAAATTACTTTTTTAGTGATCACTTAAAAACTGTTCATGCTAGTTGATGCTGCCTCTTCCCAGGTGCATTTAACTATTATTCTGTCATTCCTGATAATCCTTTTTTACAAAAGCTTTCAATACAAACATTTGTAAATAGCTCCATACGGTATGCAAGTTTTGCAAACATTTATAGCATTGGTCAAAGCCAAATTACAAGATTTGTATAAGGACTGGAGATACAGCTAGTTTGCCTCAATCTAAAGAAAGGCAGAAAGCTTCTGAAATGTCTGCTATTCTTCAAGATTAATATTTCTGCARTATTTTTTCCAGAATTCAATTTAAGGTAACATTTTATAGCTAGTAAAATAGGTGAGAGGATGTGGGAATTATCTGGGAACTGATGAATTATTTCTCTTTATTTAAAAAAAAAAMCAGTAAAAACTACCAAAAAACTTTAAAATATAATTAATTAAAAAGAGGAAATGGAACTGAACTTACTTTTAAGCATGATCAGTTAGTAATTTGTATGATCAGAGAGTCTAAAATGCAGCAGCYAGCTGGAGGTATTGGGCAGAGTGTTTTGTTAAATGAATTTCTTTTAATTTATTGCCAGTTCATCGCAATTTTATTTCTTTTGGATAATACAGTCTCTGATGACTAAAAATAAGTGCTTGTTCTGGAAGTTTACAAAATGAGAATATGGTGTCAAAATGCTAGTGGCTCAGTTCTGAAAACTTACTTATCAAAAAAAACGGATTAAAGTTGTTAGTATTGACATTAACATTTGTATATGAAGACAGCAAAATGCAAAAGTTTTTTTTTTGCAATGTTCTATGTAGGGATTTTGCAAGTATTGTATCTTTGTAAATGGAGTGCTGAATTGTACAGAGAAAYAGCATGAAGAATTGTATCTGGCCTTATTCTTTGTTGCAAGAATTGATCGGAGGTTGAAACAAAGCAGTGTAGTCAACTGTGAAAAGTTGTGTGGTGTGGAAGTGAAGGTTCCTTACATTAGCAATCCCATAACACCAAGGGCTTTGCATTGTTTTAGTTTGGTGCTRATGTCAGAATATGTGGTTCTAATACAGTTTAGCATGGTCAGAATTGAGGCAAGTCATACTGGTAGCTAGTCTGTTTTACTCAYGCTGGCATACATTCCAATTTGAAGTTCTTTCATGGCTATCAAAAACTTACATTAAAGGAGTCAGGTTCTTCTACTGCATGCATTAAGGAGCTAGAGAAAGCACAAACTTAAATTCAAGCAATTACTCTGTTGTTGTGAAGAACGAAATGGATATAAGTAATAAAAGCCTCTTAAACCTACGATAGAGAAAAATCTCACTGGACAGACACACTTACTGAATGTGATTGTATCCTGGTCAGTGTAAATACATTGAAACCATCCATTTGGGCACATTTTTGAAAATTGCATATGGACTACTTAGTCTTGTTAGGATACCTGTCTTTGTACTGCAGTATGAAATACAGGCTTATGTGCTGATAATGGGACAACTTGTTGCTTTCTCTAAGAGCAGTTACGAAAGTTTTAGGAAAACTGCCATAAGCAGAAAGATGCAAGAAAATGCTTGCTGGTATAAAAATGCTTTTTTGGGAGACAAAAGTTACTGATTTTATTTTGATCAAATCTAAGTTCTCAAAAGTGGTCCATGCATTTCATGGTATGAATGGTGAGTGTCTGGTAAGTCACATGCTGCTTAAGTTCTTCTAAAGATCAGTATTAATAATTAATATTTAAAAATTCCCTGCTGTCYAGTGACTGCCTACTCTGTAAGAAGCAGTAAATTAACATGCAGTGCTTCTGTGCTACATACAACCTGGTAGCTGAAACAGTAGTCCCTTTATTTGCTATGTTCGTTGCCCTTCTGACATGTTCTCCCATAGCAGGCAAAGCATAGATTTTTCTTGCCTATTGTCATTCATTAAAGTAAGTCATAAAGAGTTTTGCAGTTAGGGAATGGATTTAAAATGCCTCTTCAATCTGCACTGAGCTTAAGTTCCAGAAATGCCTACAAGTTGCTGTTCCTTTGAGCATKCAGAACCAAAGTCCTGTCAGAGTGCACCAGTACTTATTTGCTGATACTGTGCCTAACTTCAACTATGTCACATCACCAACATTAAAATTAACCATAAATCAAACTATAGATGTGAGTATTTCTCACTTGGGGCAAAAAAATTTATGGTTATGAGTAAATTGCTTAATTGTATCCCATTTTTCAGAAGTGCCTAAGTAATCTAAGTCCTACTAAGGGGACTTAAGGGTTGGGACTTAAGCTCCTAAGTGTCTTAGCCAACATTTTTAGAAGTCTGTAATATCCATGTATCCACTGATGTCTCTCTGACAATTCCTGGAAACCCAGTGCTGCTTTGCAATGCAGCCGCAGAATACTATACATGCAGTTAAAACAGAGGCCAAAGTGAGATTGCAGTTTCAGGTATTTGTTTCCTCAGGAAAGGTTTGATGCAGTTGCCAGGCAGAGCAACATAAAGCCATCCATATCAATCTCCTCAGGGCAGATTACTTTGTATAGTTTATTGCTTCTGTGAAAAGAARGGCAAAATTAGTTCGAGTCACCCGTTTCACCAAATTCAGTCCACTAAGTTCAGCTGTCTGCCACCTCTACTACAAAATCCTGCCTTCTAAGCAACTGATTTCCATCTTATGTTGTATTTGGTCTGTCTTAATGCTTTGTGTTTCATGTGTCTGCGCATATTTCACTCTGWAATCAGGATGTTGGGTCTGATTTCTAGAGGTGCTAAGCATCTTTGTGTCCTGTCTTCAGTGAAGGAGTACTGCACAAATTTGTTTAGTTTTACTTTTAAATTGATTGAAATTTCATTCCTACACAGGTTCCAGATTTCACTATTACAGACCTGTCTTCAGAGTCAGATGATGTCCCAGACATTTTGGATTTGGATGAAGAGGATCAACAGGACTTTTCACGCACAAATGGCCCTTACACTACAGGGCAAAGAGCTGAATAGAGAAGCATAAAAATGTCTTTTTGATACAATGTACCTTTGCCATGTTTAATTTAGATTTCTCCTTTTTAAAGGTGAGCCTGCCTAGTTTAGGGATTATGGGGATATTTTTTAAAAAAAATCAGTACTGTTTCACTTAGCTGCATCAAAAATCTGGGTTTTTTAATGTAAGGAATGCACGCTACATTAATTGGTTAGCATGGGTGTCAAGCTCCCATTTTACAAGCCAGGTATAGCCTAAGCAGTGTATCCAACTAATCTGATTTTTGTTAATGATCTGTTCTCCTGCTGGTAGCAGCCATGAGAACACCCCAGTGCTTTGCATAAAGGGCTGCCAACAAAAGGAGTTGATGAGGATTTGCCCACAAAATTAACCCTTTCAGTCTACGTGAAAAGCAGTGCTGCATCTACCTCTTTGCTGCTGGAAGGGGTAAGAGACTTTGTCTATCTATCAGATTTTCTCAGGTGTTTTTTTAGGCTCTGCACTTTCAGAGCTTAGACGCTTAGAGCTTTCCTGTGGGGCAAGAGTGCTTCATGCACAAAATGACTTCCTTTCTCTCCACATGCCTTCTGTGTGCAAATACTTTGGCCATCGTGACGCTCAGTTGTGGCACCTGAGACTAAAATGGGGTAAATGCTTCAATATCAAAGTTGGGAATAAGGAGAGCATTTAACAAAGAAAGGGGAAGAGACTGTAAAAAGAAAGGAAAAATAGACAGTGAAGAGATAAAGATTTCAGACAAAGAAAATTTGGAAGACAAAGAATTGAATGTGAAGATAGTTGTGATGGCAGTGATTTTTTTTTTTTAATGTTTAAATAAAATCTCAATCAGTTGTTTGCTAAGGGATGGTGAGTCCGCATTTGCTCGCACACAGTAACTTCTGTAGGAGTTGGGGAGAGTAGGAACGGGACTGGAGGCTGCTTGTTAACATTTCTTTCCGAGGACGAGGCTGAACTACTGTGGCAGAGACCTGTCTGTCGTTGGTGTGACTGTGGCGAAGTCACGGGAGCTGCGGCACTGCCCCGGCCGCGGGGACATCTCTGCGCCCTCATCCTGGGACAGCTGTCGTTGGGAGGGCCTCCAAGAATGGTCACTGAAATGCCTTGGAATAAAAGTTTGAACCGCACAGCCCGCTTGCCGGTGCGAGTTTTACTTGTTTGGGTTTGGTGGTTGGGTTGGTTTCCCCCCCGCGTTAAGTTCTGCAGTCCGATTACAAACCTATTTAAATAGGAAAAGCCTTYTGGAAGGCGCCCAGACTACAGCTCCCGTCAGGCAGCGCGCCCGGCCTCGTTGTCGTCGGCCGCGGGGCCTGGCGGGAGATCTCGCGAGGATAGGGGCGTGGCGTGGGCGGGCCCGCGCGCGGGAGATTTTGGCGGGCTGGCGAAGATGGCGCGACTGTGAGGGACGGGAGGCAGCGCTGCTTGCTCCGTGCCAAGAGCCGGCATGGGTTCCAAATGGGAGAGCGATCACCTCTGGCTCTGCTTGCTGGCTTTGGGCTTCTACCCGAAATACCACTCTGGCGTGAGACTAGGAAGGTCAGTGCTCGGAGAGCCGGGGGAGGGGGTGGGTCCGAGCGGGGCCCGGGGGCTCAGCCGGGAGGGCGAGGCGGGAGCGTCTCGCCATGGGCGCCGACGGGCCYGGTGCCCCTGGCGATATGTAGCGCCCGGGAAATGCCCGCAGTGCCGCCGCAGCCCCTCTTGTCTTTGTCTGAAGAAGTGAAACCCAGGAATGGTGAGAACTTCTGCTTCCCCGCATAATCTTGGGAAGGCGAGGTGAGCGGCTTCCTAGCACGTGTTTTGAAAACTTGGCTTGAGAGATAACGCTTTCGCCGGAATTGTTTCTTAGAATCGTAGGATGTTAGGACTTTGGAATGGATCTTAAAAATCCCAYTGCTCCGCCATGGGCAGGGACATCTCCCGCCAGACGAAGGCCTTAACCCATCCCTGGTCATGAACACTGCTAGGGTTAGAGCATTCGCAACCTCCCTGGGCAGTCTGTTCCAGTGCCTCGCTACTGTCACAGTAAATATTTTGTTCCTAATACCTAATCTAAATTTTCCCTCTTGTCAGCTTGTACCCATTACTCCTGTCACTGCAATTCCTGACGAGGAGTCCCTCCAGCTTCCCTCTAGTCCCCCTTCAGATACTGGAAGGTTGCTCTGAGGTCTTCATGCAGCCTTCTCGAGTCTTTGCAGGGGAGATACTCTAGTCTCTTTTTCAACTTTGTGCTCCTTTTCTGAACTTGCTCCAAGAGTTMCATGTCCTTRTTATGTTMGGGGGACCAGAACTGAATGCAGCACTTCAGGTGGGATGTTACAAGAGCAGAGCAGAGGGGCAGAATAACCTCCTTGGGTCTGCTGGCCACAGGTCTTGTCTTGCAGCCCCGGATTTCACCTGTGTTGAGTAGGATGGAAGGTGTATAYTTTTACATAGGAAATAAAGCATTCACCATGTTACTCTGTAATATAACTCAGTTTTGTATTCTTTAGCAGCTTGTAGAAATGCTTTGTTGTCAGTTATTTCTGATGTCGCTGTTTTGTGTGTTTTAGGGATATGTTTGCTAAACCAAACAACAGAGCGTTTACTGCCGTTGCCCTCTTCTTGTTTACTAAGCTAGATAAGCATCGTGCAAAACGAACTTTCAAGTAAGTATCTGGCTTCTGAGATTACTGCTGTGTCTTTAATCAAGAATATGTTTTATAGAGTTGCTGGAGGGGAGGGAAGTGGTTTCTTGGGGAATATTGTGGAAGAGGAGCATACAGTCAGAGAATTTGGGGKTTTTTTTGTTCACAACTGGTCAATCAATTTTGATCAATCTAAAACCTTGCCTTAATTAGTTGCTTCTGGTACTGTCTGTAACTTGGCAACTTTGATATAAATGTYAATAGCTGATAAGTAATCTGCCTGTCCCATTCATCTTGATGACCGGAGAGAGTAATGTGTTCCATTTCTGGATTGTTTCCAGGACTTCAACACGGCAAGAACCCTGTGTTCTTTAATGGTTTTCTTTGTATAGYGATGCTTTTTAGCTTTTACATTTGAAGATATGGCAGGAGGAGGACCAGTTATGAAAATGGTCAGGGTTCAGAGCTCTTTTTGTTTTCCTTCTTTCGTGTCCTGAGTTAAAAAGAGCTGCTAACAGATCTCTGTCTGAAGTAATCTGAAATTAATTTATGGAAAGAAAAGTTGTCTTTTAACAATTTATATCTAGTCTTGGTCATATGCCCCTCATTTTCTGGCTTGGCATCAAGAAGAAATCTGTGTCTTAGTTTTGTTTTTACAATGCTAATTATTTATCTGATTATTTAAACATGTTTTGAAATGGCTTTTTTTTTTTTTTATCCCTTCTTCCTCATCCTTTTTAAATGGAAAGGAAATGGAGATGCACAAAACTAGCAAGTCCTAGATTTAGGAGGCAGTGCTGTGTGTGGCTAAGAGAAATTGCGGTGAGTGTTACTAAAAGTGGATGTTGATGCTCTACTGATTTCTGTAACCTTATTCTTGTTTTGAGGGAACTCTGTTACTTTAGAGTTTTAAACAAGGATTTTTAAATAAAAGAATTCAATTTTACCTTGTATATTCTTTCATAAAGTTTATCTTGGACTTCTTTGAAGGAAAGATATTGTCATTGTGGAATTTAAAAGAGAGACTTAATTGTGGATTTAAAAATTACTGTAGCTTGCTTTYGGGTTAACAGTATTTGGTCACACAGAAGTCTAGAGAGTCCCTTAGCCCTGGGTGAGAATAACTTCCTTCAGCTTGAGGAGTACTTTTTTAAAATTGCCTGGGAAGGTGTTTATTGTGAAAGTTGATTCATGCATGAAAAATTTTATTAATAGTATTTTCTTGYATATGGGGGAAGGGACTAAAATGTAAGGTGAGCTTATTACAGACAAACCAAAACTCATTGCTTCAGATGTCGTTGGTTATTGCTTTGCTTTCTTGTGCTGCCTTAGTTTTTGTGATTGTTCTAGAAATCTTGCCTTTATATGCTACAGCACTTCTGGTTTTTAGTAATAGTGGATAAGGTGAAAACCAATGATGTGGTCTCTTTAAATATGATTAAAGTACACTAACTAGTGACTTCAGTAGACTATACGAAAGAAAATTTGAATGTTTTTAAAGATAGGGGTTACCAGTTAGGAGTGAGGAGGCCACCAATTTCTAACATTTATCYAACACTGATTTCAGTCTTTGCATTGAAAGTATCTCGAGTGCAAGACTAGGTGGGCTAKTGGGAACATTGAAAAAGCTTTATTCTCTTCTGCTGACTACAGAAGCTGTCAGCTGTGGTGGCAAAGTCATTTAGCTTTACATCAGCCTTGGTAGTGGGTAATCTGCAGCATTTTGGTATGCAGCCAAGTCTTTGATAGCTGTTGTTTATGCTTCTTAGGCTAGTTTTGTGTTTAAAACAATTGAACTTTTCTAGAATCACACGGAAAGAGGTATTCCACGAATTACACCTTCCACACTGATTTGTCCTGGTGGTGCTAAATTTATTCATGTGGTCTACCGTTTTGCAAGATACGTAATGATTGAGGACATGAGAAAGCTCTCTGCAGGTAAGCTGTAATGGGACAATAAAAACGTTTCATTTGTTATGTTTGTAAATCTGTCAAGTCTTTAAGATATGATAGGAGCTTTAAGTAGTTCTGAGTTGGCTGCTCAGGTCCAAGTCTTTCACAAGGTTCTGTGCACTTGCATTAGGCTACTGTTGATAGGTAGTGCAGACTAGAATTGCTCTGTGTTGCATTGTGGGTCTTGTTCCAAGGTTCACTTATGCAGTATTACACCTTACCCACACAAGCAGTGGTTTRGTCCAAAAGTATTGGACTGCTATCATATTTTCTTTCTCAGAGCCTGAGGAATTCTGAAGGATCAGATCTTGTATTATTGTAATCTAGAGGATATAGAAAGGGAATGAGAATGAGGGAATGAAGGTGTGTACAATAAAAAAAAATGGCAAGAAAGGTGGTACACTACATGGTCTGTTTTGGTCCAGGTTAAAATGAGCATCTTGATTTGTGATTCTTGCAGATTGAACTAAATAGATTAGGAAGTTGTCTGTCTGATAACAGCAAAATATATAATCCAAACACTGACTTCTGTTTAGGCACTGATATACCTTTTGCTAAAGCTCTAATGAGGAGACCTGAGGATATGTACATAGCAAAAGCAAGACATAGAGTTGCATACAATAAACTGCTACAAATTATTCAAAGGGAAGACTTCATTATTCAAGAATACGGGAGAAAAGCACGGTGAGTAATACATAAAAAGAAATCAAAGTCTTTTTGTAGAAACTGACTTATGTGTGTGTTTCCAAAAGGATTTGAGAAGTCTGTATATGCTTTTCATCATGAGTTCTGTTGAACTACTCTCATATTTTCCACCTTTACTSATAGTCTTACTGCTTGTAGACCTTTTGTGAAGCATAGTAGTCTAAAGAAATAMATCATTTACAAGATGCTGTATTTTGGAAGATATGGTTTGGGCATTAAAATGATCAGGGAATTCTACAGGTRTAACAATATGATTTCTTAACTTTTAAAGGATCATATCCTAAAATATAACATCCTCAGGATTAAACATTTGGTCTTGTTTAGTCTTTTAATGTGAGAGACATTTTATTTACTTAAACCTTAATTTTTTTCACTGAAAATATGCTATTCTCTGCTCTTGTTTATGGCAAACATGCCTGAGAAATACCTAGACCTGGAACCTTTTCTGTAGGCGCAGATTTATGTATCAGCAGAATTTGTAAGGCACATAACTGGAGCACTGTCATGGACAGTTGTGAGTTGTTCAGTGAATGGCAGAAAAGGATGAGGGGTTGCACTGTCGTAAAAAGAGCTGTGTCAGTACATGTWGTATGGCTCCATACAAGAGGACTGGTCATGTTTCATGCCTTTGTGTCAAGATCTGAGGGTTTAGCATCCGGGGAAACTTCATGGTGGGTTTCTGCTGGCCTTGATTCTTAAAGAGGACTTCAGCTTGCCCTGGTATTTGCTGGGAAAGTAGTTCAGTGGTGCATGAGCAATGTGGGAGCTGGCAATACCTAGAGGATGACTTTGTAATGCAGTCACTGAGTCTGCTGAGTAGAAGTGGTGCTCTTTAGAGCTCACAGCATGTAAATAAGAAACTTCTCTGGAGATGCTACGGGGCTCTTAAAGTCATTGCAGTCAAGACTAGAATTTTAAATCCAAGTTATGYGAGGACAAGTGGAAGACAGAAAGCAAGTTAGAGGGGTCAGCCCAAAGGGTGATAGTGCCTCAAAGCTGTAACTAGTCCATGACTGGAGTTCCTGCTGTGTCTTCATAAGGAATATGGATGACAGTCTTGAATACAAACCCACAAAACTTGCAGATGGTGCCAAACTGTGAGGAAGGAAGATACACTGCAATGGGGAAGCATTTCACAGAGACACCTTGATGGGTTTGGAGACTTGCACAACAAAAGTGGTGTGTGGTTTWACAAAGACCAATGTGAGGTCCTGCACCTGAGAGAGTAGTCCCCAGCAGCAGCCCAGGTTTGTGGCTGATTAGCAGGGTAGTAGCTCTGCTCAGAAGAATCAGAATAGTGTGGAGCCATAAGATGAGCATGAATCATCAGAATGTCCTGGCAACCAAGACCAGCAGCCTACTATGCTGTATGGCAAAGAGCACTGGTCAGCAGGTGGTCAGCAATTGTATTCTGCGTCACTCTTGTTTCTTCAATTTTACTCTTCTCTTTCTCCTTTACCTCTGTGTTATAATACTTATTTCAGTTAGGAAACTGTTCTTACCTCAGCCCATAAATTTTATCATTTTTTAAGGTTCTTCCTATTCTGTGGGGGCTGGCAGCAGGGGAGGGAGTGAGTAGCTGTGTAGTACCTAGTTGCTGGCTGGGGCTGGCAATTCTAATGCCACATTTGGTATACTGTGTTCAGTTTGACCAGCCTAGTTAAAGATGGAGAGTGAAAGATGGAAGATAGTGGCAGAGGGCCACAATGGACTAGAGAGTTGCAGAGTATGAAATGTTTGAGTAAAAGCTGTAGAAATTGGGTTTGTTTACCCTGAAAAAGACAATGGTAGGGGTTTAATCACAGTATTATATCTAAAAAGTAGTTGTGGAGAACATGCAGGGACTCTTCACAAGGATGTATACAAAAATAAAATTTCCAAAGGTCTAAACTTCTCCAGTTTATGTAATTCTGTGTCTCGTGTGCGTTTGGGAAATATTCCTGCTTTGTTTACCGTTTGAGTGATACCCTTCTAAAATGTAATTATTTATAGGGTTTTTTTTTTTCATTCTTGACAAGGTGTCAAAAGTGTGAAGATCCTTTTGAATTCAGCATGATTCAGGCACCCAGTGCTTGCAAAAGTCAGACTACTACATTTTTTTTGCTTAAAATAAACAAAAGTACTTTGACAAAAGAACTTTTGTGGTTGAGCTTGTATTCCAGTATTCTGTTCTCTGGTCTTTTGAAAGGGAGGGATTTGGGTGCTGTGCAATTGCTGAATATATTTGTAATTTACATTGAAAATAGACATTTCTAGTAAATTATTGTTGCTGGGTGTAAGAAACAACTGGCTCAGTATGCAGATTTGAAAAGAATGAGCACAATTGGTTAGTGACTGTAAGCAATTCTGGTAAGTCTGTACTAATTGTTAATTTTTTTTCCTAGGGTTTTAATTAGAGAAACAGAATGGACAAAGTCTAAATGTGCAGCAATGCAGAAGCAGTCTTGGAGGTAAGTGTTTTTCTTTGTAACTAAGTTAGGATATATGACATGGATTRCATGCTCAGTTTTATGAAATATGTACTGTAATTTCACTGTAGTCCACTTGAACTTTTGTTTTATATATGCTTATAGGATGAAACAAAATAACCAAAACAAAAATGACACAACTGAGAGAATTCAGAAGGTGAGCGTTTTGTACCTGCTATGACAGTGTGTTGAATTCTAGCATTTCTGCAACACCTACTGTTAAATACTGTTACTTGCACTTGTCTGCCTGTGATTGTGCTAGCACCTTCATCTGCCTTCAGGCTGTTTTGATGCTCTTGTCATTTTAAGTATTATGACAACCATTTTAACACAGTCTTTTTATCTTTMCTATTAAGGTCCGCAGTATGTGGACACTTATAGTGGAAACGCTTACATCTATTAAAAAGGAAAAGGACCTTGTGGATTCTGTACTTGCAGACTGTGTTCATCCATGTCTTTTGGATGGAACTGATGTTGTTTTCCGTGTTCCACGGTTGTTGACTTACAGTGTTGAAAGTAACATATATGGCGTAAGTGGTTTTTGTTCTTCCTAAATTGCTAAACAGCTTTTATTTAGTCCCCAAGGATGCAATTAATACCTTAAAAAAATAAACAAGTACTTCATGGATTATTAAAGATGATTGCTAAAGGATGCATAAAATATGTCTAATTCATATGTAGAAATTTTTTATGATTATAAAACTGTTTTGCATTAACTTTTTCAGTTCAGTTACTAGATCGACAGGTCTGCCTAATTAGTACTTGACTTTTTTGTTGTTTAGACATTAAAACTATGTTGACTGACTAGTGCTTCAACTAATTGGCTTTTGTTTCTGGTGTGTAGTATGTAGTGTTGTTCAGTTATGGCTTTGGTGTTATTTGTGCTGTATCTTTTGGGGCAGTGGGTAAACAGAGTACCTCATTGGCTGAAGTTCTTTTGGCTTGTGTTGCTTTAACCTGGAACAAAATGAAATTATCAGGAACTGAATCTTAGTATAATGTACATGGTGTTCTGGTTTTCACTGTAGAAGACATAACTTTCTGATATTGCTACTGTTCACTAATTTTTTTTTTCCTTGCTTTTTCTACTTCAAGTTTTGTACAGCAAATATGTATGAAGATGAGAAACTGAATTTCCTAACAGTTATTCAGTTAGTAAATGAAGCCTTGTGTACRCTGAGAGATGAACATTGTCCGTGTAAATTAAAAGAACCTCACAGAATTGGGGATATGGTTGCATCCTGCAAGAGACTACTAAGGGACTTGAACACAAGAAGGTAGTTGTTGGGAAATTTTATCWGATTGCCTGTTCTTAAATTGTAGGATCATGTCTGCTGGAGTCTTTTCTAGAAAAAATGTTACCGCAAAAACATGTTGGTTCAGTCTTTTCCCTGTGCCTCTGGAAAAATTAACATTTGTTTTGATAATTTATAAAGCTTTTTAGTGACATTCTTCTCTAGGTAACTTTAGCTTTTTGCCTTTGTTTCATTAATATTTTAGTCTTGTTAGATTATTTCTGGAGGCCTCATTTGCTAGCTGATCAGATTTTTGCTTTCTTCTTGTCTTGTTGCATTAATAAGTTCTGAGATTTTCAAAACTTATGTCGGTAACTGGCTTAGGGAATTTTAAAGGTTGTATCTCATTTCTGTGTATATTTTAGTGTAGTTCTTCCAATTCTATTTTAAGAAAAGTGAAGATTACCTAGCAGCAGCTTTTATGGTTGTGAATTAGAGTTACTTCTTAGTGTATGCACAAATGCATGAATAAATTGATGCATATCAAAGCAAAGGTTTTTCAGGATAAGGGGGAACACATAATACTTTCCCTCTTTATGTACAATTGTTGTCTCTACCAACAGATGTGTTGACTTAATTTTCTATGCTTCCATATTACAGTCTAAGAGAGCACAGGCATTGTGAGCAAAAGCATCCATCTGTTTCCGGAAGCCAGGAAAACTGGGAATCAAAATGGAGAGCGATTCTTGGCCAGTGTCCTTTTTATTTACTCTTCGAAGATGATCTGGTAAGTAGTGTTCATTTTATCTGATTCTGGGGAAGAGGAAAGGATGAAAGTGAGAGAGGATGTTGGTTTAAACTGGTGTGTTCTATTGCAATAATTAACTCATATACCTGATTATGCTTTAAGAAGTAGTCTTTCTTACAGATAATATACTTTTGACTTAGACATCTGATGTATTCACTGGAGATGGGAGATGGAACCATCCTGTCAAGATGGTACATCAGCATAAGAGTGAGCAGATTGGTTTCTGTTGTCTCTGTGCATCCTCCTATGGAAGCTGAGCATTTGTATGTTCAGTCTGAACATTTGCTGAATTCTATTTTCCCCTTTTTCCCCCTTATATGGCGATATACTTGATCAACGAACAATAATTTGCATTATGATACTCATATTGACAGAGGTTATACCTTTGTCTAGCTACCCAGCAGAGAGAGGAGGAACCTCATGTTGAGTCTGACAGCTGGTTTGCAAAGAAGCTCTTTTAAATAAYTGTCTGTTATTTGCTGTTGTTAAATTGACTTTTTCTTCTTGCTTGTGTGACATTTTTTTTCCCTTTTGAAAGGAAACAGCTTTGCCATTCCAATATTCTAATTCTTCAGATGAAGATGAGTCATTGTCAGGTGGGTGAACAGGAGAAGCTTCTTTTCCTTCTCCCCCACTGCCATATTTGTTAAAAGTTACTTGGAGTCAAAAAGGCTCCCTTGCATTTGCAGGTGGTCTTTGATAGTCTAGATGGATTTTGATAGATAGTGGTAATTGGTTCTGAATGACTCTTAGCAAAAATTGCCTTAAATTTTTCAACTTTGTAGTATCTTGGAGATTCTGTGAGGCTTGGCAAAAACCCAATGCTAACCTCTTTGGTGTTTTGTTCTTCTTGCACGAGAGATGTTGAGACAGGTGTCCATGTTGAAAGGTTCATTCATGGGTTCTAAAGAATACATTCAGTCTAACAGTAAAGGTTACTTTGGGTTGGAGGAGTAAAAAAGAGAGAAAGAAGGTTAAACTTTTCCCATTCCACTCAAGAAATTGAGGGTGTCCTCCCAGGTAACCATCTTTTCTTGGTGCACTGCGAAATACTTAATTCCTTAGTGATTGTGCCATTTGGTCAGGGCCTCTCTTGATCTGTGTTGAGCTTTCAGTCATTAGATTAACTGTTGATCAGACTTCACTTTGATCGGGCATGGTTGGTGCACATGCTAATTGGCTGATGAACTGATACTTGATTAGTTCTTGGTAGTTCTTGTTGACCACGTGCCTAATGTCACTAGTATAGTGTTACAAGTTAAAAGCTAAAAACAAAGGGGAACTCTGCTTGAATCATGCCAGTTGCAGTCCCTTTTAGGAAAAACGGCATAGCAGAGGTGTATTGGAATTACAAGATTCAAAGCAATGGCAGGAAGATCCTTTTGGTTAAAAAGGTGAAAGTACTGCTCCAGCATTCTGAGTGTATGTGGATATGAGGCTAGAAACTGCAGAGGAAAGGCTACAGAATTGCAAATGGAGCATGATTTGCAGATTGAAGCACTGTACAATGATGCTGTGAGCTGGTAGTATCAGAAGGCTTGAGACAAATTGATGTCTCTGGTGTTCTCTGTACTCCGTGGTTGACTTGCATTATTGGASAATCCAGCCACTAAAAACTTGCAAACTTCTCTTTCTTAATAGGGTCAATTCCCAAACCAAAATATTGACCTCATCTAATTACCTGAAGTGAGCTTAGATTTTTGWTGTTTTGTTGAGGTGAATGTGACAGCAAATGCCATTTGGCTTTGTAGAACCTGAAATTTAAAATTAGTAGAGAACAACAGAGGTTAAACTTCATCTGTTCATTGAAGACATGCTGAAGTTAGTAATCGTTGTAAATAGTCTGTGACTGAGTCTGTGTACCTCCAATAACGTTAAAAACATTTACTTATATAACATTTACTTATGCAAAGCTTCACCTTGCTTGGACTGAAGCAGCAAGAGGGATGAGTATATCCACAGAAGTACTTATTGATTAATTCAGTTGAGGTAAACGTGGGTGGAGTTGTGTTTTCTGGAATTGGTGTGCCGCACAATTGAGATGTATGTGAAGAAGAGGGGATAATGATGATGTGGCTGTAGTTCAGAGGAAGGTGGAATGTCCGATTGATATGTGCAGGGCAGCAGATAAAACCATGCTTTTTGAACATGCGTTCAGGAACAACAGCAAGAGGTGCTGGCTGCTAGTGGCATCTGTCGCAACAGATGCTACCTGAGCAAAAGGAATCATGACACTGTCCTGCTTATTCATGAAGTCTATCCACACKACAGAATTAGTGTGAGTCAGCTGTGTTATATGGAAAACCTGAGTGAAAAAAATGGAAGCAATAATAAAACAMTCACTTGCTTTTATAGGTTTTTATTACTCTCTTCAAGAACATGATGAGAAGGATGATGAGGCTTTGGATACCGTGAAGGATGTGACATTTGTACCCTCAGGATGGTATGCTCAATGAGAAATGGATAAAAAAAGCAATAGAAAAATTAGAAGTTTACTTGTTGGACTTGAATATTTTGCATCTCTTGAATWTTAGTGGAATCTTTCAGTAGCCCACTCCTTACATGTCTCAACTATTTSATTTAGCAAGATAGTCCTAAAGTAATTGAGGCTTTCTCCAGCTGATGAGAGATTGATCAACTGTTTGTTGCTGAATAGGATGAGTAGCAGCCAAGTTGCAAACTGTTTTTCTTGCTTTTTAACTATATTCTAAGGTTTAAGAGAGAGGAGGGGACAATGGAAACTTCTCTTTCTCAGGCTAAATGTTCTCTGCAAGACTTTTTGTGACTCTTCTTGAGAGTTAATCATGTTCTGTAGCTACTCTTCCTACAGTACCAGCAAAGGGTAGAGCACAGAACAATGATATTCTTAAAAGTCTTTTTTGCTTTTGCCACTTGCTTAGTCAAGGAATATTTAATGACCTTTCARATAGTGCCATCTTTCATAACATAGCTCCTGCAGGTGCTTGAAAGTTGGCTAAGAGACAGAGGGAGTTAGGAAATCTTAGACATCAGTAGATAAAGTTGCATGTAAGTCTCAGAGTCAAAGTAGTTGACAAATCCTAGATTTCTTTCAGTGACTTCATACAGCATGGAGATTTGTCTGCTTGCGAGGCTACAGACAGGTAACAACAAAGCCATTTTAAAGTGTGCTTTTTTCTAACAAGTGAGGACTGTGCATTTTTGAGAGCTTTGCAATTAACACTAAACTTACTGTAAGTGATAAGGCTGAAGTTTTTGGTAGCAAGATGATTGATAAATATCGACAGGTTTATTTAGGAACAGACCTATGGATGCCAGAAGTGGTTCATGGAAAGACAATGCGAGAAAAAGAACATTGTCCACTCAGCAGAAGACTTTCTAGTTACCTTTTATTGTTGAATGCAGAAGACTTGCTTACAAATGTATTGAAAAGTTCCTTCTTTTTCTGTGTGGTAATCAATGGCTAAGTTTATTAATTTATTWTTTTTGGGAGGCTGATACACAACTAGGGCTAAATCTGCTCTAGTTGTCACACTGTTCTCCCTATAGTAAAATTGCTTTCTGATGACCGGGACGAACTGAGAGAAATCGTAACGGACAGATACGGAGCACACAATATATAATACTTTCTAAGATTTGCATCCCAATATAATTTGTCTCTAAAATCTTTGGTTTTTTTGTTGACTAGTCTCGTCCTGTCTCCCTTCTTGAGGAAGTCATCAGTGCCATCATTATCAGAAGAATCTGAAACCAGTGACCTGCTAATTGAAAATGTAATTTTCTATCTTTGAAATAAGTTAAACTTGTAACATGTCCTTGTTATATTGGTTGAAGCCTAGGCTTTATGGGAGAGTATGGTGGGGCTTTGGTTTGTTTTGTGGGGTTTTGTGGGTATTTTTTTATTGTTTTTTGAGCAATATTTTTACACATTTGAGACACTCTGACAAAACTGCTAAAGCTAATTCTTGGTGACTTTGTAGAGCTTTAGGAAAGGACAGCACTAAGTAGGTGCCTTCGTATCTGTCTTCCTGTATAACATAGAGTRTGTGACTGATTCCCTGCTTGCTGAAACAGTCTTTTTGGTGTGAGCAGTGACTTTGTTTCTTCTCTATGAAATTTAAGGGTTAAAATGTGGTGTAAAAACAACTTGGATGTGCTGTTGTCCGTTGCACAGCTGTTCATTGTACTGTGTTCAAGGTAGTTGCAAATGARCCATCTGTGTTGTAGGTAACACTTGTCTTACTTAGTACTTAGGTCCTACTTYGAATACAGTTGTTAAAATATTTTGTATTTGGTTAAAATTCAAGAGTGAAGTACTTTCATTGACTAAACACTGGGGCCATTGCAGTTCAGAATTTGTATATTAGTTCATGCTCACATCCTGATGCTTGAATTTATAACTGTTAATAATTCCTGTATATTCCTCTAGAACTTGCAAACTTGTGTGGGAAATAAAACACTTGTGCCTCCAAGAATCTTAAAAAATGGAAAGGAAGAATTCCCCACTTCAGAAATGAAGGAGAATCCAGGTAAAGATGTTAGCCAGCCAAAGTCTCCTGTTAAAAAAGAAGACCTTCTTGAGAAAGCCAGAGATGAACTGGCAGAAGAGGTTAGGAAGTAATTTTTTTGTTTCTTTTAAAGTAAATGATCACTAATTTCAGAGAAAAATGGCTAATTATGTAAAAAAAAGTCTCTTGTAATCCACATGCATCAAAAGTTACTTTTTTCTGCTAGATAGTTATCAGAGTCACAGATTTTTAGAGTGGACTGCCTGATAAATTACACACAGAAAGCATGGAGTTAGTGCAGCTATCATACTTAAAAGTCATGGTGAAATGAGTAGCACATCAGTAGAATTATGGTATATGGTATGGTATAATTCAGTCTGAAGTACATTGCATATGTACAAGAAGAAAAACAAAAAGAACTGTTGAATTCTTGAGTTATACAGGTTAAGTATTTAACAGGCACTTAGGAATTTCAAGTAGAAATTTAAGTATTTCTTCTTTTAGATATTTTATATAAGATTTGGCTGGGCAGTTCCTGCATAAGTTACTGTAAAATGTACTACATCTYCATTTGTAAATTGCATTTTTTTCTGAAATGATACAGTTATTTTTTGTCTGCTAAAATGTTTGAATTACATTAATATATCTCTAGTCTTCATGCTTTTGCAGTTCTTGGCTAATACCTTAAATATATTCTTTCTGAGCACACTCTTATTTGAGAGGTGGATTCATAGATGATGAGGGAACTGAGAATTGAATTCTGATTTCACTCCCTTTTCTTAATTTTGTGTTTGTAGGATACTATGATCATTGTAAACCTAAGCAGTAAATAAGAAAAGTTAGGATATTCCTAATTCTCCACATAATTTGGAGAATGAGACTTACTTTGAACCATAACTGACAGAAATGAAGAGGTTATAATTTTGCTTTCTCAAAATTTGCCATTTTCTAACATCCTACAGGTTGCAAAGTCAGTGATGTCTGAGTCACCTGACACYGGTGAAGAAAAAGGAATGCCATTAGATGATCTCATTAGCTCACTGTCTTTTAACCCATTTTTAACAAGGAAGCAAATACCCCGAACGCCAGAAAATCTGCGTAAGTTTGAAACTTGGTTATTGTAATGCTCATTGATGAGAAATATGGTTGGTTCATTGGCATGTCACACAAGAAGAAAAAGAAAATTATTTCAGTGATGTTGCTTCTTATTCTAATGGCTCACTTTGTGACACAACACAGTAGACCTAATAAGRTGTGAATACTGCGAATGCGATTTAAGACACCTTTTTCTTACGTAGAATCCCTTTTGTGTTGAGGGATTGTAAGCAATATAAAGAGCTATACATATTCCCTCTTGGATTGCTTAWGTCACTGAGGGGACAGAGTAAAAATAGATTTGATTGAGAGTATGAAAGTATTAAAATTCTACCTTGTTTTGTTCCATTTAGTTATTGAAATCAGAAGCTCGTGGAGAAAAGCTATTCAGACTGAGGGTTCATTAGACACGGAACTGTCCTCAGCTGAAGTGGTGACAGAAAAATCTTCAATAAATGCTACACTCAGTAAGCAAGAGGAGAATGACTCTACCCTTGTGTGCTCTGAGCCTGCATCTCCTTCCGTGTCAGAAAAGAAGTCGCAGTTAAGTTCAACAGAATCTATTCCTGAGGAGCAAGTGAGCATGAGTCACACATTTGAATCTTCAGATTCAAAAACATCTGGAATTCAAGAGAGTGAGAGAAGTGAATCAGAGAAACTTGATTGTTCTGCTTTGAATGGAAGTTTTGTAGAAGATCTAAGTCAGACTTTGCAAAATACAGAGAGGAGCATAGATATTCCAGATACTTGTTTGGAAAGTAGTAGGAAAACAAATAGACTACTATCAGATCACTGTCGCATTTTTCAGTCGGATGAGAAGCTGTGCACTAGTTTATCTTTATTAAATTCTGTCATTCATGAAACTGACATGGGGATATTGGATGAGACACTTCCAGAATCTGATAGCATAGATCTCAGCATATCTGCAGATTCTTTTTTTTATACAATGGACGGTGCAAACGTAACAGGTGGCTCAGAAAATAACGAGGATATTAAAAAGTTGGATATAGATATCCAGTCCCTATCCACTTCACATGAAGTGTTAAAAAGGAMTGCATATCAGAGTGAAGAGGAGCTGCATCAAACACATAATGGAGATGAAGCTGAAAATTATAGATATGAACTAAGTCCTATACCAGAAGAAATAGAGAGGTATGATGATGATGCTTTTGTGGATGAAGGATTTACCAAGACGCCATTGCCAGCCTCTTCTAATGAAGGCAAATATTCCCTATCATCTTTGCTGATAACCTGTAAACAGCTGGAGGAAGTGGTACATGAAGTCCCATTAGACTTACCACATAAATTGAAGGGTATGTGTTTGTGTTCTTTATCCATCAAGATTTTGTCTTTCTGTCACTGGCTGTACTATTGTGAATAAGCTGCTCTGAGTAATTGARCTGTGCTGTGGAAGTAGAGGGAAACAAATTATTTGTGTGCTTATTCTTTATAGAGGATAAAAAAAAGGAAACATGTTTCCTTTAGTTCTCTAGTTCTATCAACATCTTTGAAGTATGAGAAAAGATGCTCATTTGACTTTCTGCAGTAATCCGCAGCTGTTTAAAACAAAAACAAAGCTATAAGGTGCATTAACAGCAATCTACAGTTAGATTTTAAGTGATCTGAAGTTASACTCTGAAGTTGTGTATTTACTCCRAACAGATTTGGCTATTTAGAAATGCCATAGGTCATTGGAACCTCTGGGAGTTCAGGAAGGTGTTGATAGAGCTGTCCTGCATTCCTGCCTGCCTTACCCCATTTACAGCGGAAGTGTCAACTCTGTTTAACCAGTTTAACTCTGTTTAAACAGTGTTTAGTTACATGTGAGGTTAAATTATTAAAGATAATGGAAAAGTGTGGGGCCATAGTTGGAGCAGATGAGTGTCCTAGTGGTGGAAGACACAGACAAGGTGGAATTGCTGAATGCCTTCTTTGTCTTAGTCTTTACTGCTGAAGCCATCCTTCAGGAATGCCTGGCCTCAGCAGTAAGACAGAAAGGGAGGAGAAAGGAAGACTTTCCCTGGTCAATAGAGGGTTGGGTTAGAGAGCAGCTAGAAAGACTTAACACCCATAAATCCATGGACTTCAATGGGAAACACCCATAGGTGCCAAGGGAGCTGGCAGATGTTATTGTTAAGCGACTCTCCATCATCCTTGAGAAATGGAGAACAGTARGTGCCCAATAACTGGAGAAAAACCAGCATTACTCCCATCTTCAAAAACGACAGCAAGAAAGACCTGTCAGACTACTGGCCAGTCAGCCTTMCCTCCATCCCTGGAAAGGTGGTGAAACAACTCATTCTGAAGATCGTCACCAAGCATTGTCGAAGAAATGTRGGTCATCAGTAGTCAGGATGCATTCACCAGGTAGTCGTGATGGCCATTGGGAGTAGACAGGTGGAATCATACTTTACCAGTACCCTTCCAATGATGGGATGGCAGGATGGGTTGGTGAGGGGAGAGCAGTGGATGCTGTCTGCTGTTAAAGAAACTTCCCTTTCTGACAATTTGTGAGACTCTCTGGCAGTCACCAGAGAGTTCCCAGCATCAGAGGTTTTCAGTGTTGGGAGTGAAACCACTTCACTGCGGGTGGCTCCAGTGAGCTGATGGGTGCCCTTCTTGTCTCCTTACACAGGAGTCAGGTCAGGTTTCTTTCCTTACAAGTTCAACCCCACGTTTCCCATAGCAGTCTCTCAGTCCATAAAGCCATTATTCATGGCATAGTAACACAGAAACAGCTCAAGCTGGTGCYTCTGAGGAGGACCCCCAGCAAAGGAACCCTGGATTTTTAAACCCTCAGTCTCTCCACACACGTCTTGCTCTTGCTCTTGAGTCTTCATCTCCCCTCCTCTCTGTGTCCCTCCTCTCTGTGTCCATCCACCTGGCTGGTGTCATCACTTCATTTCCTTTATTATCCAAAAGGTTGGGAATTCCCAGCTCCTGATGTGTCTCTCTATGTCTRTTCACCTGGCTGCTGTCGCCCATGTTCATGCCTCTTGTTATCCTGAATTGTGTCAAGTTCACATCCTCTTGTCTCCAGCTCCCAAAGCTCAGTTTGCATCTTAGCTAGGATGCCCAGCTGCCTGGACCAGATGGATTGCTCAACACTTCCTTAACTTCATAAAGGTTTTTGATGATGTCTCCTATAACATCCTCATATGTAAACTCAGGAAATGTGGGTTAGATCAATGGGCAGTCAAGGTGCATCAAGACCTGGCTGAAGGCAGAGCTCAGAGGGTCACAATCAGTGGAGCAGAGTCCAGCTGGAGGYCTGCAGTCAGTGGTGTTCCCAAGGGATCAGCTCTGGGTCCACTCTCCAATATTCACCTTGTTTATCAATGACCTGGAGGAAGGGATCAAACGTGCCCTCAGCAGGTTTGCTGGTGACACTAAACTGGGGGAGTGGCTGATCCATCTGAAGGCTGTGCTGCCATTCCATGGCACTTTGATCAGCTGGAGGGTTGGGCAGAGGGAAACCYAATGGGGTTCAACAAGGGCAGGTGTGGGGTCCTGCAGCTGGGGAGGAACAGCCCCAAGGGCCAGCACGGGCTGGGGCTGAGCTCCTGCAGAGCAGCTCTGCAGAGAAGGASCTGGGGCTCTTGGTGGATCRCAAGCTGTCCATGAGCTGGCAGTGCCCTTGTGGCCAGGAGGGCCAATGTCATCCTGGGCTGCATCGGGAAGAGTGTGGCCAGCAGGCTGAGGGAGGCTGATCCTCCCCTTCTACTGGGCCCTGGTGAGGCCATCTCTGGAGTGCTGTGTCCAGTTCTGGGCTCCTGAGCACAAGAGAGAGAAGGAGCTGCTGGAGGGGGTCAGTGGAGGGACACAGGGATGGTCAGGGGTCTGGAGCATCTCTCTCATGAGGAGAGACTGTGGGAGCTGCGTGTGTTTAGTGTGGAGGAGGCTGAGAGGAGATCTGATCAGTACAGAGAAATATCTCAAAGGTGGGTGTCAGGAGGGTGGGGCCTGACTCTTTTCAGGGGTGCCCAATGGCAGGAGAAGGAGTAATGACCATAAACAAAAGCACAAGAAGTTCCACCATAATATGAGGCAGAACTTCTTACACTGAGGGTGGCAGAGCACTGAACAGGCTGCCTGGGGAGGTTGTGGAGTCTCCGTCTCTGGAGACATTCAGAACCCACTGGACATGTTCTTGTGTCACCATTTCAGTGATCTGGTGTCAGAGCAGGGGGGCTGGACYAGATGATCTCCGAGRTCCTTTCCAGCCGTAAGGACTCTGTGATTCTGTGATTTAGCAAATTATTTGAAATTTAATATAAACTACTCTSCAGGAGTAGTGAGATTTATAGTTCATGCAAACTTGCTGCAATATGGCTTTCATTTAAAATTGTGGCTTATTGATAGCAACTGATTGGAGCAGTTATCAAAATTAAAGTAGTATTTAATATGCTTTATTAATAATATGTGAAATATCTTCAGTATTTCTGTCTAGTAGTTGAATATTATAGAGTGCAAACTAGTATGTTCTCTCTTTCAGATAAGAACAGTTGAGTTAGAAGCCAAGCACAAAGGAACCTTCATCCGGATGGAATTTGTAAASCAGCATAACCATAACAGTGCATTTATGGTTCACTTTAGTGTGTAGTATCTTCTCCAAGCATTGTCTGGATTTTGTTGGAGACTGTGTTCCAATATCCTTGTTTTGAGTGTCAGTTGCCTGGTCTGGCTCCAGAGTGGCCTTCTATGTACAGCCCATCATCTACACGCAGAATTATATTTTATTTTCTAGGCATATTTTAAAAAATAGTATATGTTGAGTATATGGCATAATCCTAAAAATGAAAAAATGAAATGTCAAAGAAGAAATGGTGAAATCTGTTAATTTGCTCCTAATCCACACCCCATGCCCCTCCCCAGCCTTCAACCCAACAGATTCAGATTTTACTTGGTGCACTGCACTCCTTTRCATTAATCTCTCACTGAAACTTTAGGATTATATTGCCATCAGTTCTGTTGATAAAACAGAACAGARGCTGTTCTCTTTTTCTAAACTTCACTGGAGTGCATTTTTCTTTAGCTGTATTACTGAATAAATGCTTTACACTAATGTTACAAAATTGTATGACTTATGGTAGGGTTAATGCTGCTTGATTTTAGCCACTGACATGCACTTAYTGTATTGTGATGTAACTGGTAATAGAGCCTGCGATAAGGTGAGAAAGTAAAAGTTGAGGTTCCGAGAGGTAAACTGCTTGTAAAAGTTACTACTAGCCTAATGTGTTCAGACTCTGAAGAATTGTCAAATAAAGTTGTTTCTATGCTCAGCTTTGAATTTTGAGTTGCCTGTGGAGCCCTGGCCTCACATTTCAAGTTATGTAAAAAAGCAGTCTTTACTTGTTGCAGTTATGTTTAACATTATGGTTTTTGTTTTATAGGTACTAGCTGTCCTGTCCACTGGTTTGTGTTGGATACTTGGGCCGTTTTTGATTAGGCCTTAATTGGAAGGCCACCATAATTAGTTTGAAATTCTGGATAAAATTCTCATGTAGAGCGGTAATTTACTGATTTAGTGAGGGGAAGCTGAAAACAGCAGGGTATTATGAGCGGCCAGAAATACAACTGTATAAATTACCTGTCTAATGTGAGTGATGGCACCTGCAGGCAGTTTGCAAATGATAAAAAAGTCAGAGAAGCATTTGGTACACCATTGTGTATGTTGCCATTAAGAGGGACCCCAACAGAATGAATAAATGGGTCAAYACAATTCTTCACTAGATTTTAGTCTAAAAACCTCTTGGAACAATGACTGTYTCTACTTGTGTCATTACTCAACTGCTTTCAAAGAAAAAAAATAATGTGTAAATAAATTCTCTTTAAACWACTAATAATGTCCAAACACTAGTGAAATGATTGTGTCAGTGGCTCCTGGAGTACTTAACGATAAACATTACAAGCATTCTTGCAGCTTTCCCTGTCAGGTGTGTCCACATACAAACTAGTACAGTGTATGCAACTGTAAGAGACAGGTTACCAGAAATACATAAATGAGTGACTGTGGATGAGATTCATGTCTTGGGATGATTGCCTACACATAAATAAATCAGAAACCACTGTTGGYGTCATGCAAAAACACCATCCAGTGTAATATATTATTTAGAAGTTATAAAATACCCAGAGTGGAGRCAGAAGGGTGCTCCCAACTCTCTGCAATTCTGCTTTTTGCCAGTTAAGCACAGAACTCCCCAGCYGTAAGACTATGCACAAGTCTGTCAGACCCAGCTGAATAGCTTCACATTGACTGAAGAGTAGGTGATACGTATGTAGGGAGGGATGTTCTGAAAGCATTCTCCTGCAGAAGGGCTACCTCCAAATGCTGCTCCACGAGCTATCTCACCTGAAGTGAAGCATTGCAGGGGTAAGAGAGCTCTCATACCAACAGAGTAATTTCTACCTAAGTTTTTCCAGATGATGGAACACAGAAGATTGAACCAGGGCTATCAAGCCAAGCATGTAATTCAGGCTTGCTAAAAGACTGCTTGAGCTCAATCTAAGTACTTCTGTTTTATGGCCCTGTGCATCACATCCTCCCCCAACCTGTTTTGTTTGGGGTAGAGTGGTTTTTTTTTTTCACAGTGGCTGGTATGGGGCTCAAACCACTTTCTTGTTTTYACCCTTCTGATCCTCTCCCATTACTTGCAGAAATCCACTGACAGAACTATACTTGCATTTTTCAACTTCCAGTGAACTGGTGACATTCTAATGTTCTTACATTCTTTGTATTTGTCCATAAAGAGTGATTTATGTTCAGTACAGACAGAACATACAAAACACAGACTCCAAAATTACATTTTCCATTGATCTTAGGGGCCTGGGACTGCTAAATCCTTGTCATATCAGTAAAGACCAGGGCTGAGACCTGAGATTCAGAGGTCACACCCTGACTCTTCAATGTCGTTTAGGTGCTCAGGTAACAYGAACAGCCAGTTCTTGCAAATCAAAACTGTTGATCTTGTAGAATGATGCAAAATATAATTGGAATGAGCCAAGAATAATTTCCTGGGCGTTGTGCACCAGTGCTGGCTTTCATTTTAGGCAGATTTTCTGCACTAGGAGGAACAATCTGTGTTARTGCTGGTGGAGTGGGTAAGCTTTGCTCACCATGTGTCTCTAAGGCCTCTCCCTGCTGCTTAGCACGTTTTGATTTGGAAGCCTGTATTAGTCATCAGTATTTATTTTAACCGTTGTTTTTCAGTTAGTGGGGCGTGCTAGTGGTTAGAAAATCCTGACTTTATCATTATTACAGTTCAATGCTCTGGCAGTAATTTTTAAACTTAATGCATAAGTAGGAGGGTGAATTTTTTTTTTTTTTTTGCATATTAATTCAAAATAGAAATTTTGAAAATATTTACTGAATAAAACCCCAGAAACTTACTGAATTGTTATGCAAGCGARTTGAAGACACCTTGTCCTTCTGACAGTCCAGATTATTGCATGTGGTCTATATACTAAGGGSTCACCTAAAGGGGATTTATGAAAAGGATCCTTAAATCCTGTGAGATCAGTAATCTTGTTTCTCTCCAAGGTAATTACTGCRCAAGTAATACCACATAGTCTTCCAAGATAATGGGAACAATTGTATTTGCCGTTGTTTGATGTCCTGGACTTTTCACCAGAAGATGGCAGCACTTTTACTTTACTTAAGTTTTAAGATAACTTTATGTTAGTCACAAATATTTCTACTTATTGTTGGGTAAATGTAGAGATACTGTGCTAGATACTTGGAAATAAATAGCTTACCAGAGACAGGAAGAAAACTGGCATTGCAAAGTGTTGCATGTCAAGCCTTTTAGGTGGGTTTCTAGCTCTGGCTGGCTGCTGATCTTCAAGTCCTCTGCAAGTCCTGGTCATTGCTCARCAAAGTCCTTTTACTTGACAGTTTTCAAGAACATTTGGAAGAAAAACCAAAGCGGGTGGAACTGTTGCTTAAGGAAATTTGAATTGCTCCGTATTGCATTTCAGGTCAAGAAAATGTTCCATTCTGTTCCTAGAATTAATTTTCCTGGCAATAAACCAGTTAAATGTGAATGCATGTTTTCTGTGAGAGAAATGGCAAAAGTGGAGAAAGGACTGGAATTGATGGTACAGAAAGAATTCTTGTTTCCAAGCCTATGAAAATAATGATAAAAAATGATTTTTTTTATAAAATAATGATAAAAAAGAATTCAGCAGGTCTTGTGGATATTYTGTGGTATCTAACAGAAAATAAGCTAGGTTAGCCAGAGAAACAAAGATGGGCTTTACTATCTAGCCATAAACTAATCTTCACTATAGCATATTTAATACAGCCAAGATGTCAGAGTTAGACACACTTATGAATATTCTATTTACAATGCATTAAAATATTGCAGAAAAGCTTCACCACTGGCAGAACATCATTTTAAAGAATGTAAGGAGAAGATAATGCAGGCCTTCTTAAATTAGAAGTGAAACACCAGATCCAGCCATTGTGATCCATTGCACCATGGACTGGTAAAACTTGCTGTYAAACGTTTATATTTCCATGTGTGCTGATGGCTGAGTTACATTAATGTGTTCAGTAAGGGCAGATATGTAAAGAGAGATAGCCCTAAGGTCACTTGGTCCKGCCCAGGCCCACTTGTCTGCTAACAAACTGCAGCTTGAGCCCAAGACACCACAGTCTAAATGTTGCATCCTGTTGCCATTTATTACTGCATGCTGATTCCTAATCCACGTCCAAAACAGTGRTGTGCCTGCACATGTCTTTTATGATCTATTTACAACAAAACACGGCAGCAGTTCAAAAAAAAACCCAAGCAAAAGTAAAAGATGCAAATGCTTTTCAACTGTGGCTCTCAAGTCAGTCTTAATCTGTGGAAAATTTGGTGTTGGTTGTATGAATTAAATTATACTATAATCCATATTGACTGTGGGTCTAGACTGATCTGCTACAGGCAATCTTAACTGCAGTATTGCTTTTAAAGCCTACATCTCACACCTTTGGCTCCATATTGTAAGGTGTAAGTATTATGTAGAGTTCTTACTAGGAATATTGCATATGAATACTTCAGATGTCATAATATGAGAACAGCCTTTCCAAGCATATTTATGAACAAGCAATCACARTGTCATAATCAAAATAGTTCTTTCAATATGCAAGGTGATATTCCATTAGCTTAAGATAGGTGCTTGCATTTCCAGTAAACATCACTGATGAGGCTACAACTTCACGTAAAACAAAAAAAAACAGGAATGGAGAATGTCAGATTTCAGATGTTCATGTACATTTTTATTAAAAAAAAATTTCATGCACATTACTTAGCATTAAAAGGCTTCACTTAGACGTACTTTCAACAGGTTAAACTTGTTTTTAAAGGGGATATGTACCTCTAGCTAGTAAGCTGTCATGAATTAATGCACCTGCAAGTTAGTATAGTACTGTAAAGGTGCTTTAACAGACCAAAGATGTAGTGTATCTTTAACCAGATTTTTCTACAATTCATGCAATCTATCTAGGTATATAATCAAATCAATCACTTAAAGCAAAATCCAGGTTTCCCAAATGATGGTTCTTCCCAGTACTTTGACACCACTTCTCCCTTCTTCCACACTTTGTCTTCTTTAAGTCCTGGATGTTTTTTCACCTCTGAGGGTTTTCCATAGTCCCCTCCAATTTGTTCATAACCTTTTACCTTTTACTTTTTGTCTGTCCTCTTATGTAAGAACAGATTCTGCCTTCAGTGTCTTTCAGTATGTTTTCTCCCCAGCCTCCCTCTATGAATATTTGCTCCTTGTTTCAGGAGTTCCTCTTTTCTGCTTCTTACATCTCTTTCTCCATCCGAAATTATCTGTTCTCAGATTGCAGCATTTTTCCCTCCACATACCTGATTCCTGTAGACTTTTCTGATGGGAAACCYGTGGGAAATGTGTTTTCAAAAGGAATGAACAAGGTGTAGCTTCTGAGATCCTAGCTGTGTGTCTAAAGGGATGGAGGAGGTCCTAACTGAGCTCACAAATTATTTAAGTRCTTACAGCTGCTTCAAAGCAGAAAAAAATTGTAGAGAAAAGCTCCTTTACATTTTCTAGTGTTTCCAGAAACTGTTTTGAAAATATCTCTGGGGATTGCTAATTACAGTGTATATCAACGTTTTGTATAAAACACTGTGTCAGTGGGAGATCCTACACCCTGGAGTTAGCCTAGGGATTTGATCAGAAATGCATGATACTGCACTAAGAACGCASTTACTATGTAAGACTTCCCGAATCTTAAATTTCCAGAATAATGTGATTTTTTTTCTGCATAGGAATGACTGTATGGAAAGCAGCTACACAGATTAGGGAAAATGAAAATAGAGCAATTAAAATTCCCATCAGCAGTGCCAGCAATTTGCGAGGTTTTACAGATGCACGTAGGAATAAGAAAGCACAAAACTGTATGGSCATATTAACAGAAAGGGCAGGGAGTGTGGCCTCACCAGTATGGGCACAATTCAGCTGATTCTCCAGTTTTATATAAAAAGCATTGGTAATTTCTGGTAAATTTTAGCTGCAATGAAAGAATTGGATAAGTTGGCTGCCAGAACAGAATCACATTGYTCAAAGACAAAACCTAGGGATTCATTACCATGTAGGATAAATGTGAATACAGGGAACAGTTCAACAGGAAATACTCACTCTTTCTTGTGTATAACTTACTTCATTTGATGATTTTTCTCATCAAAAGGGATTTTAATACCTTAAGAATTTCTGTCCTCTAAAAGYAAAGTGACTGTCTTTGAACAGTTACCTAAAATTTGCTTGCAATTCTCTGAGCTAGATGAGTTCACAGAGCAGCTTGTGATCGTTCCATGGTGCTTATATTGTCAGACTGCACTGTCATGTTGCAAACTGTACTTTTCCATAGCAGWTTTCCATGACAGTAAATTTGGAAGATTAAGCAATCATGAAGTTCATTAGGCACTGATGAGCACTATACAGCTACAGGCACCTTCCTCTTTTGCTAAATTTTTGCCCAAAATTGCAGTGAAGACATATGGGTATGTGTCAAAGCCCTCTCTCAACTGTTACTTAGTAATTTGGAGGTGACTACAGAACCACCTGTTCTAACACGTAGTGAATGCATGGGTTGGTGGAAAAAGTGAAGTTTGGCATCCAGACTTCAGCCCTCTGATACACAAAGATAAAAGTTTCTGAGTTGTGTGGGAAGTATATAGATAATCTTCCAAATGTTTCAGGTTAACATGCTTTTGTACTATTATGATCACAAGGGCTTCAAACACAAGGGCTCTCTTCTCTCAAGGGAGATCTTGATTTTATTGTAGATTTAGTATTTGTTTCAAACCCCTTTACCATCTAAAAGCTGAACATTTTACTTTTCATATGCGCCTTCCTGATATTTTTTGCCATATTCAATATTTGTATGTATGTGATACACTTTGCAAATGAGTAATCTTCTTCCCTTTCCAATCATCTAATCTGTCATCTATTCTTCTGTAACTCAGGTAGCCAGGCCTCTGTTATCTCCATAGCTTGGAAGAGAATTTGAAAAATTTCTTCCAAGAGAGTTTGAAAAATAAAGACTCATCTTCAGTGGTTTTCTTTGCAGCCTAACTGTTGGCAATCAGTTCTTGCTGTTAGAGCCTGCCCCAGWTCTTCATCAGGTGTCTTCATCATCTTCTTCATCCCTGTCTTGTTTTGCACAACAGCATCATGCCATCTAAACAAGAAATTTCTATACTGYTGTTTCAATCTGACCATTCACTGTGATGCCTTAGGATTTTTAGTTTCTCTATTTTCATGCATCTGTATTCTTGTACTTCCCTAGTACAGCACTAAAACTACTGCTCTCTCATCTTTAGACAAAACAATCCCTCTCTGAGCCTGAATCCAAGGACACCTCGCTGCCTGAGAGCCCCAAAATATGTAAACAACAGCGAGTTGGGGGGGAGCAAGTTTGGGGTGGTTGACATCATCACCTGTAAAGATCATTGGAGAATTAAGACCCAATATGTTAATAAGGCAGAACTTATAAAAGGTGAAGATCTCGTGACCCCGTGTCCATTTTGGGTGTAGCCTCAGGAGGAGGCTTTTGTCTGCATAATGTACCAGTAGGCCTGTTAGGCCTGTATTAAAGTTGTGTATTCTCATTCTCTTAAGTTTGTCTGGCCTCTCTTTCAGATCAGCCTGATTGATAAGGCATCAACTGAAATTAGAGATGGTACCAGAASTGAATTTTGTGGTAATGGAGATGTTGTTTTTCCCTGTGAGGGCTGGTCTGAGAACCAGTGTTTTTAACAAGGGAGAGCTACATTCACCTGAATGACAATTTGGACATCTTGGGCTGCAGTTTTTATCTCTCAAGCAGTAATACTATGGCACCCACGACCTCTGTGGACAGTAATAATCAGTAGTAAGCCACTTAKCAAACATCCTGAATTCTGGTCCTGAGTTGTGACTCCAGGGTGTCCTCCTTGATTTAAACAAGTTTTAATGTAAACAGATAAATTATTGATGTATTTCATCTCAGCTTCTATACTGATAAATGAAAGCAGAAGACCTGTATTCTTTTTTACCCTCRAAGGGTCTGTGATTTTTCCATAATCCTTGTAAATGAATGTGAAAAAAAAGAAGCTATCCTTAYGTACTTACTTGTTTTATTTTATCAGTAGTATTGGCCAGGCTAATTTGATAGACCTCAGTCAAGGAAACTGTAATTTAGAAAATCAGAGGAAAGTGAAAATCAGAAGAATTAACAAAAAAAAGCCCAACCCCACATCTAAGCAGACAAATATAGCAGATCTCAAAATTTATGTATTATCAGTTTTTACAAAATAGGGAACAATATGACAGCTGCAATATCGAAGTGTTTATACAATAATTTTAACTGTTTAGCACTGACATCAATGTACTGTCTTGCTGCAGTCACAAAACARTGACTTTAGTCCTGAAGAATCATGTATTTATTTTATAAATATTTATCATGCCAGAAGGAGTAGTAATGTGTAGCAAACCTATAAGTGAAGCACTGTTCCACTCCTTGCTGTTTAGATTCTTGCTCTGTTTTTYACATTTTTGTCCAGTAAAAAAAATATTTTCAGGAATGCCTCTGTGGGTGTAGAAATAAAGCTTTTATACTATCACATGTTGGTGGTGAATTATCACTAATGAYAATCAGTGATTGTCCATAA